CTAAACCCTTCTTTCTCATTTAGTTCAAAGCATAAGTCAAGACTCTAATTTACATCTTCACTATATACAAAAAATCTTTAGATCCAAGCAAGTGAGTTTTAAGACTAAAAGTAATGCTCATCAAGAGGAAACCATGGGAGGAGAGCTAGGATGAAGCATGGCTCTTGCAGATGCTTAAACAAATAGTATAGGAGAGCCATGGTAGTTCATGTTACACCAGTTCACTAGATGCTAATAAGAGCACTTTCTTAATAGGCTCAGCATGTGTTCATAATTAAATCTCTCTGCACAGCTGTACATCATTCAGCACCATGGCACTCTTAGACAAGACAAGCTCAAGTGAAATAAATAGGAGTCATTGCCTCAGACTCTCAGTACATGTGGCTATGGAACCCTCCACAAAGGTCAGACCAATGTCTCCTCACAATCAAACTTCCATTCTGCTATCCCAGTAATAGCAGTATCTTTCCATATCTGACAAAAGTAGACTTGCCCTTCCCATATTTATGAGGACTGTTGCCAAAAAAGGATTGTTTCCTGAGCTATTCTTTGCCTCCCTCCACTGGTTCTTTCTTCTCTCTTCCATGTGATAGGAACTACTGCTTAGCACTCTGAAAGCTTTCTAACACTCTCACATTTTATTCAGTGTCAAGATACTGTCTTGCTTGTTTGTTTAGAACATAATGCAAGCTACTTTTACTCCACTGTTAATAGTTTGCTTTAAACTTCCACCCTTGCACATCTCATGCTTTGCAGGATCTCCTTACACACAACTTAGATCAAACAAGTAAATAAAAAGTCTGGCTATTTTCCTGGAACAGCTTCAACAAAGTTTCATTTTCCTCTGTTAACCCTTAAAAAACACATGGTTGAACAACTGTACCTAAACAGATGTCCTTGGTGTTGTCTCCTACAGGCACCCTGAATGCAAGCACCTACTAATCCCACCTTTCCTTGAACACAGAAATATCCATCAGAAGTCTCATCTGCCTAACATCAACTATTAATATTACCTAAAGGATGGATGAGCTCAGTGTAGGTGTTTAGCCAAGAAACTGTGCTGAAGCCTGTCCCCAGAGAGACAGGTAGTGCTTCAGTGTATTCTAAAGCAGATAGCACAGGTCTCCCCCCACAGCCTCACCAACTGTTTCCCCTCAGTTAGGCGCTCCAGAGGGAATATAATGCAGTAGAGCAATTAATTTAGCCCCAGGGGTCCTCTTGAACAAGAGTACAGTAGTAGCCCCAATTGTTGACTAATGCTACCTTGACATGTCCTGCCTGTCAGTCCATAAAACACTTCCTTTTTTACAAAAATTTCTTGTTCTTTTCAGTGGTTTCCAGCTTGGAAGACTTTTGATACTTACATTTATTGGTCTGTGCTGGTACAGTGTATAAAGTAACGATGTAGCTCATGTAGAGGTAGTAATCATAATTGTCAATCTTACAAGATAAATTTCAAGTATGGATAGAACGTTACCACAAAAAAGAAAGTAGAATCATATCTGAATCTCAGAAACAAATTTTCCAACCTAGTTGGTGAGTGACATAGCATCTTTTTTATTTCTTATGATGTAACAAACTGGGGCTCAGAACGTACGTACATGTACAAGTTTTCCATTGTTCTAGTTTGAAGAATATATTAGGACAGAAAAGATCATGAAATGTTTCAAGTCTGAAAATAGCTATCAAAAGGAGAATGTGCTAAGTGAGAGCATTCAGAACATTACTCTGTTTTTGCTAGCAACTAAAGAGCATGTATAACAAACAAAACAAAAACAAAAAACTTGCAACCATCAACATTTTGATGAAGTTTCCCTGGAGTTGACCTGCTAGCCCTAGATCAGTGTTCCACTGAAGGCTCTTTATAAAGATTTTTTTTTTCCAGCATACTATTTTGAATTTCAAGCTTTCAGATTCTTAAACTTGAGACTTCACAATAACCTTCTGGTGCAAAGCTGCTGCCTTCTGTCTCAGATGGTGAGAACTAAGTCTGTTTATGGGTTCCCCCAAGCATCCGTTTTTAATCAGTATATGACGTGTCCTCAGCTCTGTTCCAAACCAGTAGCTCTGCTTAGATATGCACGGATATTCCTGCACCACACAGCAAGATGTTTCTTCTTCCCAGAAAGCAACAACATAGAAAATCAAATTCAAAATTATTAATGTAAAAAGCTGAAAAATGAAAAGGGGAAATCTAACATTTCAGACCTTTTTATATATGGCACAGGAAAGCAAAAGGACAAGCTCTCAATTAAAAATAAATCCCTGTCAAGTTCCCTTTAAATCACTCCGATTAGTACAAACAGTCTTGACATATACACTCCCCCACACTGTCTATAGGGAATAGAGAGAAATATTGCCTCTGTTCAAACTCATAAATTTGGGGATTTTATGGAACTACGTTAGGTGCTTAAAATACAATAGAGAGATTACAGTCATTAGGTTAGATCAGCTGCTGTAATTACTGTGTTTAGGTAATGCAGGAGTCGGGGTGGCAGAGCTCCTCCACCCAGAGTGCAAAGCCTCAGATGCACAGCCATCGTTGGGTTCTGTGGGGTTTGGCAAAGCTGCTGGGACCCACAGGGGTTGGGAAAGTCATAGTGACTCTACCTGAATCTTCTTGGAGCCTGAGGCAGCAGCCAGTGATCTGTGCTGTCTTGTTTATCAGGGTAAGGCAAAAATGCAGGGGACAAGGGATAATGTGCTGAAGGCCGACATTTACCTATATGGCTTACTGTTATAGGATGTGAGGAAGGAGAGAAGGGATTCTTTTGTAGTGACAGTGACTGTGGTGCACGGCTATTTGGCCTTATCTGTGTGCTGCGATGGGAAGAAATTACTGCCTGTTTAACTCCATAAAGAAGGCACCTGTTCCCAAAAGCCCAGAAAATCCTCAGAAGAATGGCAAGCCTCGGGAAACAGTAAATCTAACAAGGATGAGCCAACACACTGTATCACTGGATACTGGAGCTTCTGTAGACTGTGCTGTGAGAAGGGTTAAACAGTAGCTCCTCAGCTTCAGAGAGCAACAAACCATACAAGCATTTGTTTGCAGCTAGACCCTGACCCATGCATGGAAGGGGGTTTATGACTTTGTAACTGTTCCAGCACAACAGACAATATGATGAAATGAAAGTGAGAAGCATGACTTGCGCTTGGACCCGCTGCAGCAGCAGTAGAAGAATCTCTGCAAAAATGTAATTCTCAGATTAGTGCAGGCCAGAAATGAAGAATCCCGATTTAAGGTTAGTGACCTCTCTGGTTTACATTGTTCCCTGGGGATCATTACGACTTCTCCTTGCCCCTGATCAGAGGTAAATGAGAGGTGTGTACAGAGAGCAGCACTGATGGGGGAACTGTGCAGCATTCCGGCTGTGTGGTGCCGGTACGAACACCTATCAGCGTAGCATCACTGTCACAAATGCCAACTTGAGTCCCGAGGCATTGCTAAAACACGAATCTATGGCCCCGTCCATGCCGTGAAAGTGCTCTGGTCCCACTTGGAGCTGATGGGAGGCTCGGGGAAGGGGAGGAAGAGGAGGAGCGGCAAAAGGGAGGAAGGGGCGGCCACGAGATGGCAGCAGTGCCACGTCTATTTCGGCAGCTCGCCGGGCCCGAAGGGCTTTTTTGACTGAGAACCGCAACGTTTAACCATAAATACAGGCTTATTACAAAGTCAGCCTACCTCGTTCAGGGCCCGTTCACCACCTTCTTGAAACTCACAATGAGAAAACAACTTTGCGTATTTTACCATGAAAGAAAAATCTCATCATAAGTGAACATTTACAACCCTGAAACTAGCTTTCCAAATGTATTTGTGGCTCTTTCCTTCCTCTGAGCCTTTGTATTTTAATTACAGAGACAGGTGAGTGTGAATTATGCCATTAGGCCCAGTGTGTGGTGGTGGTGGCAACCTCTGTGACTTCGAATGGTTCACCACGAGGTCCTGCAGCTTTCTGCACCCATTCCACAAGCTCATGGAACCAACATCATGGGTTTGGAGTGGTGCTGGAGAAGTCACTGTCCGGTGCTGCTATGTACTGGGATGGGTTGGTTTGGAGGGTTTAATATTTTGAATGGTTACTTAATGGCAGAAATTTCTCTTGGCCACAGGAGCCGTTGGGTATGGCGAGGTAATGGCAAAGCTGTGCTCCTCAAGGAGAGAGCTGAACTGGCTCCTCACCTTTCCTTAGGAAGTGCACCTCGCTCTGATGAGCAACTTGGACGTGAGCAGCCGAGCACGTTGGGACACGAAAGCCTCCGTCCTTCCATTACGGGGACTGAGTTCGAAGGGATCCCCACCCCAATGCGCCTAACACCCGCACACTCGCCCGGGGTGCCCGAGGAGCTGTGGATGCGGCGGAACGCCCGGGGGGGCTGTGGGCAGCAGTGGGGTTGAAGGAGCTTTGGTCCCCGGAAGCCCGCGGGGGGCAACGGCAGCCCCGAGGTCTCGTGGGGCGGCTGCGGGTTCGGCTGCGCATCGCCGGCCCCTTCCCCTCTCCGTGGGAAGTGATGGTTGAGTCCGGCGGCGACGGCGGCTCCTCGCGCGGCTGGCAGCCCCTCCGCCGCGCTGCCTGCGCCGCGCTCTGTTCGATCCCTCCCTCTCCCCTCCTCCTCCTCCTCCTCTCCCTCGCTCTCCCCGCAGCCTTCTCCCATCGCCGCCGCCGCCCGGTTCTCCCCTCCGGCGGCCGTGGCTGCCGCGCTGCCCGCCGCGCCGGGCGCGCCTCCCCTCCCCTCCCCTGGGCGGGCGGCGGGCCGGCGGCGCCGGGGCTCCGCGGGCGCCGAGCGGGGCTGATGCTGCGGGCAGCGCGCAGGCAGCCGCCCGCGCAGTCCTGCAGGAGGCGCCGGGAGCCGCGCCGCCGCTCCCCGCCTCTCCTCGCCCCGCGGTGCTGAGCCGGCGCCGTCCGCAGCCCCGCCGCCGCTCCGAGGACGCGGTCGCAGCCCAGGAGAGCCGCCGGGGGTTCCGTGCGAGCGCGGGTGCGTGTGGAATAACCGCAGACATGACTGCGTGGAGGAAATTCGAGGCTTTGCTGGTTTTCTGCGCGGGGATCCTCGCTGCGGCTCAGGGTAAGATTTGGGTTTCTTGCATTAGGGGCTGGATTCACGCAAGCTGTGCTCACGGCTTTACCCCTCAGCTCAGCTCAGGTCGGCTCGGCTCGGTTCGGCTCGGCTCAGCCGCTCGCATGAGCTCTCTTTCACCGCGCTCCGTTCTGCGCTCCCAGCCACCGGCTCCCAGATCCCCGGCTCCTTCCCCCTGCTCCCCGTCCCTTCCTCTCGCCGTCCCCCGTCTCCCCGAGAGCTCTCTGCCTGCCGGCCGCTCCCCGCGGAGACCCTCAGCCCCGGGAGCCGGGCAGCAGCCGCCTCTGCGCCGCGAGTGGAGCTGCGCGCATCAGCTCCTGGGCAGCTCCGGAGTTTGCCAACACTTCGCTCTCCACACATGCCCGGGCGGCACTCGCCACCGTGCGAAGAGAGACAGTCCCCGGGCCGGCAAGTTGGGCTTTCTCTCTCCGTCGCCCCGCTTTTACCCAGCTCGGGGGGAGCGCAGAGTGGGTGTCGCGCAGAGCCGCCCCCGGCCGTCCCCACTACCCCCGAGTTCTGGGACTGTGGGGGTGTGCGGGGTCGGGGTCCCCCCGCATGCCGACGGGAGAGGGCTCCGGGCCGCGCGGCGTCTCCCACCCCCGTCTGGGGTCCTCCTTAAAATCAATGCGGGGAGGGAGGGGAAACGAGGGTGGGGGTGACGGCAGAGAACTGGGTTACACAACTTCGGGGTTGGCCTCAGCCCCATCGCTACCTCAGCGCTGGAGACAACAACTTCCCCGCTCGGTATTCACTTCGCCTCTCTTTAGCCCCGTGCGGGTGCGGATGCGCGTGTGAGGGCGCGGGCGGCGCATCCCGCAGCGGCACCGTCCCCGCAGCCCTCCCCTCCGCCTCCGGGAGGACGGTGCGTTCCCCCGCGCTCTGCGCTGCGTGCGGCTCCCTTACCCCATCCGCGGCGCTTCGCGTCGTCCCCACCATTTTATTTTTCGTCGCTGCTTTTAGCACTGTTACGCTTTATTCGCACCGTGCTGGGGTGGGGGGTGGGTAGGACGCCTGGCGAGGGGCGAGGCTGCAGCCTTACCCCCGGGGCCGCGATTCCCGGGCAGCGCCGCAGCCGGGTCCGGTCCGGAGCCGCGTCTCCTCCCGAACCCCGCCGCTGCCTCCGCTTTCCGCCCGCTGTTCCCTCGCGAGGTGCCCCCGCATGGTCCGGGGGGGGCCACATTCGGTGTCAGCGCTGTGTCCGAACTTCGGCTCCAGGTCTCCCCCCGGCCCCGCCGCCCCGGGACGCGCTGCAGCGGGCCGACACCCGCGGCTCATTTGTTAAATACACTGTGGCTGGTTCTGTCGTTTGACATTTAAGTGTTTTCTTTTCATGGCTGACAGCACATATGAAAAGCTGGAGGCTGGATCATGGTTATTCAGCGGAGATCCGACGTGTTTTGCTTACATACAAAGGCTTTGCCAGGAACATTTGGGCACTGCCTCCGATGCCGCTCTGCAGAATGTAATTATACAGCGCTTAATGTGGAGCAGCAATACACCTACTTAAGGGCTACAAACTGACTTAATATTGAAGTCAAACAACAGGTAGAAGGGGAACCAGCGGGGACATTTGACATAATTCTTTCCCATTTACCTTCCCAGGCAATTGAGCACAGGTATCTATATTTAGTCAAATGTAATCCTGAGGCTGAAATTGCATTTATAGTTTAGAGAGTGAAAGAACTTCTTCCCTGGGAACACGGAGAGCCTTGGCTTCCCAGAGCACACACTGCTTTAAAGAATTGGTCCCTAGGACTCCCTGTTTACTGTCCCCTCAGTAATTGAATAATTCCTTAGGGGCTGCAATAGGAAATCACATGGGCTTTGGTTTGTTTGGAGATTTTGTGATTTAAAAAAAGCAATGAAGTACTGTTTCTGGAGGTGTTGCCACACATTTTATCTGTCAGCATAGGGGAGGTGGGCTGATTTCCACAGTGTTCCTCACCATGAAACCAAATACAAACCCTCTGCTGCTGTGCAGTTGTCTGTAACTTTTTAAAGGAATAAGAAAGGATGAAAATGAACATACGTCATCGTTCCTTGTGGTAGATCCGAGGCGCAGCTCTATGGGTATTTCCATGGTGGCGTTTTGTCTGAGTATTTTGGAAAGCCAAAGACAGGTTCAGGGGGAACCTTCCCTGTCTGTTACACTTCAGAAATCACTGGGAATCAAGCTGGGGTGCTGTGCAGGAGCCCCATGCCTGGAGCTGCCCCATGGAGCAGTGATGCTCTGCACAGCAGCAGCAGATGCTCAGCTCTGCACTCAGATGGCCATGTGTGTAGAGCCATTTGCTAATTGTAATGGGCTATATCCTTGCAAAAGCAAACATAAAAACTCGTGATGTACTTGAAACACCAGATATGGCAATGCCATTTTTGGTAAAAACAAAAACAAAAACAAACTACCAAACTGCTGGGGAGGAAATGATAGATTTAGACTGAACTCAGACTGAAATTCAAGATTAATGATTAAAATATCTTTCTGCTTTGATCTGAGATCTGCTGTTTTCAGTAGAGGAATACGTATTGCTTCATATGTTCTCTTGTCCCAGTGTATAGTTTTGAGATCATTTCCAGGGCTTGCTCCGATATCCAGTGACAGCACCTCAATCGCCACCTAATTGCTTCTGACAAAATGTGCATAAGGCTTTATTTCCTGGTGCAACTTCAGAGGTATCATTCAGATTAATGGAAATAGCAAAAGAAACACATTTCTGTCTGAAATCAAATCTGCGCAGTGGAAGGACTCCCACATCTATAGCTTAGCATTCTGTTGTGGTTGTCTTTTCTTTTTTTTTTAAGAAATAAAAAACAAAACATTTTATGTACCTTCTGTTTGCTGCTCTCACTTTGTCAAAATAATTGCATCACGCAAAGTTACCACTATGTTTAAGGCCTCCTCTTGTTGAACTGAGAATGTTTCTCTCTTTTAAAGTCATGTATTTTCTCTCTCTCTCCAAAGCAGTGCTTCTCACACTGTGAAGCCGCTCTCTCTAGAGAGGCTCCATTCCTTTCCAGGGAAGGCTGAAGCAATTTGAGTGAAAATGAGCTGGGAAAAAACAAACAAACAAAAGCTGGGTGTTGGATACCCACTGCACTACTCTGTGCTCTGTGGGTGCCTTCTCCACCCCAGCTCCAGAGCAGTGAGGAAATGACCATGGAAAGGCAGAAAGCAGCAGCCAGCTCTGGTCACATCTGTAGTATTGCATGGAGATATACATACAACATACTTAACTCTGTATAAGAATGGAAAATTTGAATACAATACAGTGCAGAACATGGCAGTTCAACTAGGATTCCCCAAGCAGTTCATTCTCAGAAGCCATCTGTGAGACCTGGCATCCCTCTGTCCACCAACACGGGGTTCCCAGCAGGTGGAGCAGGGCATGGTGTGAGCAGTTGCTGGTGATGCGAGGCCATGCAGGCAGCAGCATGTGTAGATGCAGTGAGGTCTGTGAGGGCACTTCAGCATCTTCAGTGGTCTGTAGATAGAGGAAGCATGATGTGAGCTTTTTCTTGTTTATTCTAGTGACTGTTACTCTCATGGCCTTTTACAGAAACGTGTGATTTTGATCAGGTGTGGATGTTTTGAGTTTTAGGGGAAGAAGTAGAGTACTTTTCTTTCCTTTTAGTCTTTTTTTTTTTTTTTTTTTTTTTTTTTTTTCCTATACAGACACAAAATCCAGCTCTTCATCTCTGTTACTCATTGTACGGTACTATCATTGTTTATGCATTGATACACACACGTTTTTACAAGTTGTGTATAGGACTTTGGCCCCAGTACTACTTACAGACATTAAAGCTTCAGCCTCATTGACTTAGGAACAGTCTGAAACTGAGTCAATGTTTGAAACAGAAATCAGTACATTCAGGGTGTATCGTGCTCCCCAGAAGGTCTGAGATACCTCAGGGACCACCGATTCCAACTTTTGGAAGCCATGCCACTTGCACACCTCCACACTGACATTGCTCTCACAGCCTTTCCTGTTCTCACAGTAACTGCTGAGTGGTGTGACCGTATAAAGAAAACTTCCAGTGACTTTAGGGATACGACTTAATTCGTTTTGCTCGGATCCCTACTGACCCGCTGTGTCTCTGAAAATGTTGACATTATTCTGCTGGTGAACAGCTGTGAGTGTGCGTGGAGCTCCCACAGCATGGTGCTGGGCTTTCTGCCACCGGCAGGGGTTGCAGCGCTGAAAGAGGAACTGCTGCTTGAGCTGAGGCGCTGAAGCAGTAGCAGAAGTATTGGATGTGAGTTCTGATAAAACTTGAGCATGTGGCTGGCTTTCAGTCAGGGTCCCTGATTCAGAAGCTGGCCTCTAGCTGTCCATGTGGCTGCAAAATTAAGGAGATTCAAATTAGCTCAATTGAACGCTCTTCCAATTTCTCAGTGGGCAAAGAATGAGAATCATATGGAAATTCTCCTAATGCGTGTGAATCACTTTCTTCTGCTTAGATACTTTACTTTTCTATGTCAGATGCAGTTTCCTTTAAGCCATTTTTATCAACCAGTAACTTTTGAAATAGGGAAAAATGTCATCGATGCCTGAGGAAAGCTGCGAGATGCTACTTTGTCCTCACACATCTTTGTTCTGGCTGGATGAAAGATTTCATTCAGCTCTATGACACTTCTATCACATTCAAGAAAATCTACGCTGTATTTGTTATCTGTATTTCTCTACAGAATAACTGCTTAAACAAATTACTTGGATTATTGCTGGTGTTATATTGACACACAAAGGCAACATTCATCAGTTGCCTGCATTTAGTAATTGAACAGTAAATGGAGACATGCATGCAATGAAAACTCTTACAAGAGTAATACTGCATCTTATTGCCAATAACAAGTCTGACTTGCTTAGAGAGAAACATTTCGTTCTGCATTTCTTAGTCATTAAAAAAGAGAGAGAGAGAAAACGACAACAGTTTCTTGCAATTTTTACCTGGAGGGCACATTCAGTTAACAGATATAATCACTACTGATA